CAGCAGCTAATCAGGTGATTCACAGTGGAAAGTTTAAAGAGCAGAGTGGGAGCCGCTGCACACACCAAGATTCCTAGTAGGGCAGAAGCAGTAACGCTTATTTCTCTGGATGTGGTTATTGACTGCAACAGGAGCTGCTGAATCTAGGAGCCCAGGTATGTCAAGAGATTTGCTGTGAAAGCAAAAGGAACAGACTGTTAACTGTTGAAGGAAACTGCAGTATTATCTGCAGCTGGTTTGTTATGGTAGGATCATTTTCAAATAGCAAAGGTTTCGGTCAAAGTTCATCCTAAACTGCAGTACAAGGAGGAAAAAGGACCAGCAGTTTGCTTGTATCCTTGAATCTAGGGGTGATAACAGTATTGCAGATGTGAGGAGTATATCTGTTGCTGCTGCTAGTGGAGACTTGCTAGATTTGGTTTAACTGCATGTCCTTACCTAATGAGCTGCTGTTGTGAGATGATCAGAATTGTCCTGGTCTTGTTCCTTTGAGTTTGCTGCAACTATATTGCCCATGACTGACCAGAAGCATTGTTCGCTCTAGAGATGGGGGCATTACTTCACTTCCAGGAGGACCACATCTCAAAAGCAAGTATAACCAATATCTGTGCTTCTCTCTTGGTTGCAGTAGGGGTATATGCAAGTCAGAGAAGAAACTGTTCCCAATTAGATATTTAGAAGCTTCTTTTTAAAACAGAAAAAATGAAGAGAGAGGGAGATGAGGGAGATGAGGGAGAGCCTAAGTCAGTTTTATAGCTACTTTTGGATTGCATGAAGATGCTTTTCAAACAAAAAGAGAGAGAAAATGCAGTTAACTGTTTGAAACTGAACTAATGATTTGTGAGGTTATACTGCAGAAATGCCTTGTCCTACTTAGATGTACTCAAAAAGTAAATATATACTTGGACAAATGAAGTCCTAGTGTAAATGAATGCAACTCTTTTGGTAGTAATAGTGTCACAGCTTCTTGAAACAAGCTGAAATGATATTTATATTGCTGAAAAAGTAGGAGGCGTGTCCTACTGAAATGCCACTTGTTCTTTGAACAGTATTCATCCTTCTCTAAGCTGACAAGTGTTTTAAACCCCCTCTGTTATTTGTGTTTTGTCAACTATTTGTATTTCAAGGGACCAGCCAGGTTGGGCTCTTATTGTATAAAGCGCTGTGCCAGAACTTAGGAAGAGAGAGTACCTTCCCTGTAGAATTTACAATTAAATGGACCTGGCAAGGGTGGGTAGGATATTGAATTTTGCAACTTGTTTTAATTCATTGCAGTCCTTGTATTGGAGAAGATAAATACAGTGGCATCAAAGTGTTTGATGGTGTTTTTAGGTTTACCTCATGAAATATGTCAAGTATGATTACTAGACATAGGACTGATAGGTGTAGATAATTTAAGAAAGGCAGAGGGAGCTCAGGGAGGAAGAACCGAGGTGATTAGGAGGGACAGAGGTAAGAAAGTATTAGATGGACAGTGTCTGGCACAGTGTTTATTCTGAGGTACTGTCATTTCCTGTGAGCACAGAGTGGTGTGAGCCACAAAGACGGAGGTCGTGATTGAATTGGGAGAGAACTAGAATTTGTGAAATAAGATGGTTCATAAAAGAAATAAGTGATGCCTCCTACTGCTTGGGTCTGTTATGGCATCAGACAGCTTTCCTGGGGAGGTAGTGGTGTCCGTGGTTTTAGTGTTTAAAATGATTGACTGGCATGACTGTTTAATGAACAGATTTATCTTGGCTGCCAAGGAAAGGAAGGGAGTATAAAGAGGTATCATACTGGGTTTTTGGGGTGCTGTGAGCCATGTGTTTCTGATAGCCACCAGAATCCTGGGTTTTAATAGTTAAGAAAGGGCTACTAGGAGAAGAAATATTTAAAGCAGGTAGTCCTAGTACTAGGGGTCTGATATTTAGTTTAATATGCCTCTTGTCATCTGGACAGTTGGAATAAATAAGGAGGGAAATTGTAGTCCTCATTTTGCTTTCATGTACTTTTGGTGATGAGAGATTTCCAGGTAGACTCAAATATCTGACATTTTTTGCTGATACTTACCATAAAAAGTGGATCAAACTCTGAAATTTGGTATGAGACTTGATTATGTTTTGGTCAACCATCTTGCCATGAGACCCTTCTCTGACAACAAATGATTTTTAGATGTATAAGTAAACTTCTTGATCTTGGTGCAAATTGGGATTTTGTAGCTGTATGGGATCATTCTTTGGACTGCTGGAGGAGTTAATCCCAGATAAATATAATTAAAATGTCATTTAAAAAATCATGCTTGTTCAGCCAGTAAGCTTTTAGTATCAGCGTTCTGCTTGTCTTCCTGCCAGCTTTGGTCAGGCCTTTCTTCCCTTTTTTCTTATCAGTCTGAAAAGGCGTAGCCACATTGCAGTGTGATTTCACACAAGCTTCATTTAGAACAAAAGGGAAAATACATGAATAAGTTCCACTTCCTCTCTGTTACCTGACGCTACTTGCTGAATGATGGCATCAGATTTATTTGATATATTTTCACTTTCATGTCTTTTAAAATCTTTATTACTTAGACTTTACTTTTTGTATCATTGTGATATTTATAACTTATCAAAACTGAAATAAGCCGTTAATTTACACTGAGGATAAGGACAAATGGTGGGATGTAGAAGAGAGCCAACATATAAGACCTTTTCAAAATATCTAAACTATCATTAATACCAAAGATACTTGAATGCTGGACCCTGTGATATTGTGATTGGTCTAGAAGAATCGTTATTGTCCAAGAGGAACAGACAACGCAAAGGATTTAGAAGTCCAAATGAAATTGTAGGTGCAAGAAAAGGCTGTTAGGAGGAGGAATATTTAAAGCAGATAGTGCAAGTGGAGACAACAGACTAATACTAGAGGTCTGATATTTAGTTTAATATGCCTCTTGTAGGCTAGACAGTTGGAGTAAATAAGGAGGCAAATCATAATCCTCATTTTGCTTTCATGTACTTCTGGAGATTAAAGATTTCCATGTACACTCAAATGCCTTACATAGTCTGTTACAATTAGGTCTTCATTAATGAAATTGTGTGTGCATATCTGGTTTTAATATTTTCTGTGGAGAGAGGAAGAATTCTTTTACTACATAGATTCATAGAGTGAGAATTTTTTGAGTGACCAGCCCTGCTTGCCTTAGCTGTGTCACCAGTAAGAAAGGCCTGCTAAGGAAATTATGAATAGAAAGAGAGAAAATTGGCAAACACATTTGCAGTGCCATTCAGTGCAGTGCAGTTCAAGCAGTGCTGTTGACTGGTCAGTCACTGACCTTGTGAGGCCAGTGTAAGCACTTCATTTCACCTCTCCATGCCTCAGTTTCACCATCTGTAAAATACCTGTGTACAAGATTTTGGGCTGCTCTATACAAATGACCAAGGTGAATGTAGGCACTGGGAGTGAGTTACTTGTTACTTAGCACTGATTTAGGCTTAGCAGAGTAGCTTCCAAGGTGAGAGATTTCCCTTAGGAAGAGAATGGTGCCATTTGGGATGCAAGAGCAGCCTCATTGAAAAAGTAACTCTCACTGAAGACCCTAGAACCATACCGAGGTTTTCTCAACACACTGTACAGCTTCACAATGACTCAAGTGGGCCGAAATCCCATACCAGGGTTAAGTATAACATATGACAAATGTAACTCCCACACAGTCATGAGGAACAGAGTCTTCCTGTTTACTCTGTGCAGACAGTCATCACACTTTTTCTGCTCACAGGGCTGTTGTCTTAACACAGATAATTAAGGAAAACAACAGCAGCGTAACACACAAAATGTTGTTGAGGTAGGAAGTTCCAGGTTGACATCGCTGGAGACTGATAAAAATTTCATAGTGTTTCATCTCCTAGTGAAGGACAGAGTATGGACTATGGTAGAATAAGGAATAAGTTACCCTCTGCTGTAGTGTGAAGGATCAGCATTTGCATCCAAGCGTAGGTGTCTGCTGGGACCATCAGCTTGCTGCAGGTGGTGTGGTGTACAGTGACAAGATAATGTCACCCTCTTCATCTCTGCAGTATGGAGCTACTGCATGAGTGTGGAAGTGAAACTGGTTCATCTGGCTTGCAGTGGGCAGGATGCAAACAGTAAGCAAGCTGCATAGCTGATGGATGGCAAAGGAAGAGAATCCCAAATATAGTATTAGTGTTGGCTCATAATTTCTAAACCAGGCTCGTAATAGTCCTTTTTAAAATGTATTTTAAGGGGTGTATGTATTGGTAGTGCAGGAGATCTGACTCAGTGTTTTAGTTACATTTGCTTTTTGGCATTTTTATTGACAGTCTAGAATGGCAATCAGAGATACTGTAGAGAACCTACTTCCTAGAAATGGAGGTACATTGGTCTTTTTCTTTGAGGGGGTATAATGATGTGTTAAAGATTCTTCTAGGCTCTTAAAGGACAATATACTTGGTAAGTAAAGTAATGAGCTACATTCATCTTGGTGACAACTCACCAGCTGCCTGCCCACACTATGATAATTTATGTGTGTCATATTTTGAGTAGTCAGACAATGTCCTAGACACCAATAAGCATTTGGATGATTTTGATGGAAACTGGAGAAGCCTCATTTCCATTGGTGTAAACATTGGATTATATTGGCTCTGGGTAGCAGAGCAAGCTCACAGAAGGCAAAGGAATAGCGTTGCTGTGGGATCAAGGCTGTGTTAGTGACTTCCCAGAAGACTATGGATGAAAACAGGGCTGGAAAGTAGATGAGAGGACTTGGGGTTGAGATGAGGGTACCAGAAGAATTCCTCTACCTATAGTGCAAGATTGACCCATTGTAGGTTCAATTTGATGAAAATGAGGCTGCTCATCAGAATTGGAAAAGAGCCAGTGGCTGCCAGCATTTCTATGCTTCTAAACTCCCCAACTCCAATAATTAAGACTGTCAGTGTCTAGTTTCATGGGACAGTTGGCTGGTAAGAGATGATGTTAACTGTAAATAACACAGTATCTTTAACTTCAGGTCTCATTTCAGCATGGACAAAGCAGCTGACCTCACGTGGCAGCTGGAGGATTCACCTGGCAAAGCAGGACAGCAAGAGCAAAGCCCTGATGATGGAGACAAAGCAGAAGTGCTGGGACAGCCTGCACACAGCAAGGACAAGCCACCTCAGAGCCATACCCTCCAGTGGGAGACTCTAGGCAGACAGTTTGTAGAGTATGAGCAGGTGGCTCCATTTCTCGTCCCAGAGGAGCAACAGAGAAGGCTGCTGGACTTTCTTCCCCTCTTCTTAGAGGTTTGTTCTCCTTGTTGCCTTTGGTGCAGATGCCAAGGATGTAAATTAGAGTTTCTGTTGCTCTATCTGTTCTGTGGTCACCCTAATTGCCAGTGGAGTTAATTGAAGCATGATCCCTTTGTCTAGGTGATAATTACTTTTATTCCACTGGGAGCCTGGGGAAACAGTTTCTTGTCCTTCTTTCATCTAACTAACCTGCTATGTTAGCATGAGAAAAGTGTATGGAGGAGCACTGCTCTGCTTTCATGAATGGCTAAATTCTATTCGTGAAGTCAAGGGATATATTGATGAGACAGGCATGTTTCAAAGTGAGTACCCTGTGAAGAGGTTACTTCATGTCTGCCTCATCTGTTTTATTACTCAGTTGGGGGCTGAGCACAGTTTCAGTCTGGGAAAATGTGGTTGTGGCACGCAGCCAGCTAGGGGAAATGCAGGGGTACAGTCTTAAGATGGAATTTTTGGGTTAATGGCAATGCTGTTGTCTACTTTTAGTGCTTGAGAGAGGAGCTGTGTTATAGATGGAGAAACTGTGGCATGAGGAGAGGAAGGTCATACTGTGGGTGACGGACACACCTGAGACCTAGAACATTTTAGTTTGCAGGCTGCCCTACCCCATGCCCTAGAGCTTCCATCAGCCAACAATTTCTGAGATGGCCATATTGAAAGGTGAGACTGGCAGAGCTCTGTAATGAATGGGTTGGGTTGGTTTTCTAGAGTGTATGAAACATACAGGGATCTGTTTGAGTGGACCATACTGCAAGAGAATGGCAGAGCTTAACGTTGAGAGGAGCAGAAAACCTGGCCTATCTTTAAATGTACTGTGGCCGTGTTGTAGTACAGAAGAATTGTTTTTCTTATGAATTACCTTGGGTATTTATGGGTATGGAATCTCCGTTTTTACACTCTCTCACTATGTAAGTCTTTCAGAAAGAAAATAAAAACTTCTTGGTGAAACCATATTTTAATGACGGAATATTTCAGCCATCTGTACTTGTGAGTTTTCAGTGCTTTTGAGTGACCAAACTCAGATCCATCTCTTCCTTACCTAGCTCATCTGGTTTTCTAAAAAGAAGTTAGTGGGTAGGTGAGGAAAAAAAAAGTCAATGACATGGTCACTCTGTTTATATGGAAGCATTATGGGACATAAAAAGCGATACTCTGTAGTGAGAGGGACATTTTGAACTGTGTGTTCAAGGAAATCACTGTGCTCAGGGCTATGAAATCTTTGGTGTCCATGACAGTAAAGGAGGTATAACTTCCAGATAGTCATAAACATTTCACTCAGCTGGATGGAGCACGAACATGTGAAGCTTGTAAGTCTTGCTGCAGAGCAGGACTTTGAAATTGCTGTAGATACTGGTGTCAGTTTACAGCACTGAAACAGGTCACCCGTTGGTGTCAGTGTGATGCAAACAACTGAGTTGCAAGTAGGATCTGGTGATGCCTGTGGTGAAGAGTTTGCTGTGTTTGAGTACAAGCTTGCCCTGGTGCAAGCCAGTGCAGACAAAATGAATGAAAGAGTCTGAAAAGGCAGTGAGTGTATAGCCTGGAATCTCAGAAGGGGCCTTCTCATTTAATCTAAATGGCCCTACAGATATTTTATGATTACTGAACAAAGCTTTCACTTTTCACCACTTCCTCTCAACGTCTGGATTTGTTTGCATAGAAGAGTGTCCTTTCTGAACCAAAGGCTATATTTGGACAGAAGAGCTGTTGCTCTCTGCATACGTGCCTGTCACTGGAAACGAATCTCTCTCTGCATATGGCACTACATGTGCTGGGGCAGAGTTCGCTCTCTTGGGAGCTCACCACCGCTTTATCATCTCACAAAAATTCTGGCGTTGCAAAGGGGCAGCGTTCCTTGCGCAGCCTTCAAAGAATGCTCTTCAAAGTCAGATAAGACTGATAATTTGGCAGTTTTCTGTAAAGAAGCACCTTCTTGTTCCATGGATCTGCTTTTTAAATGGCTTGCTGAAAATTGCACTGTTCTTTTTCTGAGACAGCATAGCAATAAGATGCAACCTTTTTGCTTGGAGCAAAAACCATCTGTTCTGCTTTTCCTAGAACTGTTTTCAGATTTCCTGTCTTCCTTCCTCCTGAAGCTTCATGGAAAACATACGTGCTTAATGCTTTGAGGGTATAAATTCATCCCAACAAAGATAAACTTTGTTGTGGAAGATAGTCTCTCCAAACTGCTCCCTCCTGCTCTTGTAAGCAATGTATTGCAGGATTTTTGTGAAATTCTTCTGCTAAGGTTTTCCTTCCTCAAATTTACAATGAAATTGAAAGTCCCAGATCTCAAGGTTTCTGAGTTCTCTTGCAACTTTAGCTTTTGAACACCATATAGTGAACCTGAAGTAAGCAAGTCTTGGTGAGATGAGATTATATAGAACAACTTCAGATTTGCTGATCATTAACTAAATATGAATAGCAAGAATGCCTTTCAAGCAAAGGTCATTTTTTGGAGTGAAACTTTCAAAGGACTAAGGAAATTGTTGTTACTGAACAAAGGTGACAAAACCTATAAACTCTAGAAATCTTAGGAATTAAAAATTGAACAGCAAAGCAGGAAATCACTTATTTGTCATGACAGAGGAGAACTAAACTTTAGTACCAGTGCATCAAAGGACAGCTATTCCCCAGGAGGCAAGCTGAGTATTGCTAAGGGACTGGCAATATTGTGCATATGCATATCCATCATGTGTTTCCCTTCTCTAGGGCTGAATGTCACATGCTTTAAGGTTGTAGAAAATGATTTCCTGAATTGCAGTAATGCTCACAAAGAGGGGATTTTAAATTCGTAAAGGGTATTTTGGCTACAGAATATATTCAGAATGGAGATGCGAATTTCTCATTAGCTTAACACTTGATTTTGTGCCCTAAGAGAGAGATTCTTCCCCTTCACTTTTCTTAGATATATCAGTGGAGCTTTGCAGTGCTTAGTGGGTCTTTAGGTGCAGATGTGTGGTTAGAGCATTTTGGCCTTGCATCATTGATTTAGGAGTACATTGTGGAGGATCTGGCCCTTTAGCTTTGAGTCATCATGTCCCTCCCCATATGACTTTTACTCCTTTCATGTACCAGCCTTCTGCTTTGTGCCAAGCCCCTGGGCTGGCTTGGGCAAATGCATAAGCCCTCTCCCTCCTTTGAGGATTTTCATCTCTTGCTTTTACTTTCTTTGTTTGATCATGCAGATGCCAGTGCATCTCTTTTTGTCTTACAGTGCTTTAGCTGTTACTCAGTTGGATGGAGAGAGAGGGCACTAACTAGGAGCCACCAGATGTGGGGGCTCATTACTCACTGATACTCCTTGATGTAGAAGGAAAAGATGGAGGAGGAAAATGTTAGTCATCTGCTTGTGATTCAGGCCTAGGCTGGGGGTTATTTTAATGTGCCCTCTGTATTTTCCCTCTTGGTGTCTCAGAAAGTATCAGAATGTACTATTACATGGCTGGCTTTTGAGCTAGCATCTCTCCATGAAGTATGGAATAGGAGGGACAGATGGCAACAGCAAACACAGGGAACTTGTGGCAGAATCTTAAACATGTAGAATCAGGCTTAAGAGAAAGAAAGAAAATCAGATTACATTGATAATGTATTATTTGAGTTTCCCCTGAAGGCAGATGTCCTGGAATGGAGTCAGGTTGGTATTCTTCCAGATACAGATCTTCTATAGGCTCAAAGATGAATATGGAACTGATTATGTCTGTTCTTAAAGGAGAGCGTATTCTAGAGGTTGGTGGCTGACCCACAGGAAGATCATCTGTAAAATCAAATCAGAACATTAGTGGCCTGGTCTGTAGTGAGATGGACTAGCTAAATTTTTGCACAATGGTGGCATTGCTATGAACCTTTGATTACTGCTCTCTGCTGTGTATGGTCTGAACTTCTAAAATGCGTCCTGCTCTTTCTGTTAGCAGAAGAGTGAGTATAACAAGTCCTTTCTGAATTGTTCAGAGGGTGTTCCTCTTTGAGGCAGAGGGATAGGAATCTATCACTGCTTTTTTTCTGAAAAAGGGTATAGCTTAATGACAAACATTGTATATTCTTAAGTGGCTGTGTGGATTTCTTGTCGTTGTGTTTGCCCAGCTGGCTTCTGGTCTTTACAGATCTTCACTCACTTCTGCATCAGAAGTGGAGGAATCAGTGGACCTTGCTCCTGCAACTGAGGGTCTCTGAAAATCATTTATGGTCAAAATCTGAAAAAACTAGCTTTTTTTTTTTAATATTGTTGATTGATTGAAAATTAATTGATAGGCACATTGTGCAATTTTATTTCTCTCTTGTAGCTGAGAAAAAAGAGTTGGGTGCAGTTCCAGACAGGTCAGTGCAGTAAAATGAAGCAAAAACCGGGTGCTTGCCTGATTGCTGACAGGCAACTGACACTTTGCGGGGAAAGAAATAGCTCGTCCACAAGCTCCCATCAGCAAAGAAAGAACAAGTAATTGAAAGCAATGGTAGGGAAGGAAATAATGTTTGTAGAGTATCTTCTTTCACAAAGAGTTGCACTGATTTCTTGGCAGACAGTATTATGGGTTGTCTGCTCCAATTATTTTAGGAGAACAGATGCGTTATTATTTTTGTTACCTTCCTTTCATCGTCTGTCCTTAACAGCTTGATTTTCCTGAACTTTTAGAAGGAGGAGACTTTTGTAAAGAAAATTTTCAAGGTTGCTGGGGACAGAGGTGTCTCAGCCTGGTATTTAGAGGTGAATGCTGCACTATTGCTAATACATTGATGTGTGTAGCATCGGATGTTCTATATAAAAGTAATGGTACCTTATTCTCGGAGGCCAGTTGGGTGTGACAGTATTAGTCTACTGGAATATTTTTTTAATTTGCTTTTGATTTTTTTTTTTTCTTCCCAAAGTCAAGGCAAGGAAACATTTGAGAGGGCATCTGTTTGTCAGACTCAGAGGAGGGAACCATCGAGTCCTGCTGTTGTTCCTCTTGTCAGTTTTGCATTTAATTGCTTGTCCATTCTTCAACATTCTTCTATATGGCACTAGGGAAGTGATCATCCCCCTGTACTTGGCACTGGTGAGGCCGCACCTCAAATACTGTGTTCAGTTTTGGGCCCCTCACTACAAGAAGGACATCGAGGTGCTGGAGCGTGTCCAGAGAAGGTCAACGAAGTTGGTGAAGGGTCTGGAGAACAAGTCTTATGAGGAGCGGCTGAGGGAACTGGGGTTGTTTAGTCTGGAGAAAATGAGGTTCAGGGGAGACCTTATTGCTCTCTACAAGTACCTGAAAGGAGGTTGTAGCGAGGTGGGGGTCGGTCTCTTCTCCCAGGTAGCAAGTGATAGGACAAGAGGAAATGGCCTCAAGTTTCTCCAGCGGAAGTTTAGATTGGCTGTTAGGCAAAATTTCTTCACTGAAAGGGGAGTCAGGCACTGGAACAGGCTGGCCACGGTGGCTGTTAGGCAAAATTTCTTCACTGAAAGGGTAGTCAGGCACTGGAACAGGCTGCCCAGGGAAGTGGTAGGGTTGCCATCCCTGGAGGTATTTCAAAGATGTGTAGATGTGGTGCTTAAGGATATGGTTTAGTGGTGGACTTGGCAGTGCTAGGTTAACAATTGGCCTTAATGATCTTAAAGGTCTTTTCCAACCTAAATGATTCTATGATAAACTTATTTATAAATTGTTTATAAACTTGTCTATAAATTTGTTTTCCTTGGGTAGCTATGCATTTAGGACTATGCCTTCCTATTTAGGGGTGCTTATTATAGCATAGGAAATGTTTAGAAATCCTGATCTGGTAAACATTTACTGTCATCATCTCAGCATTTTAGAAGTGCATTTTTTGCTACATAAGCACCAATCTGTACTCATGATGTAAGCTGTCTTGTAATGTTATAAATTCCTTGTCAGGCAAGGTTGTCACTCCAGGTCTGGCAGCCTACATCTTAACCTCATAGGCAGTTGGATTAGGCAATTCATATTGCTGCAAAATCACATCCAGTGCCTTTTCGGCTAGAATATTGCTGTATTTTCAGCTCCTTTCCCCATGTTTTCTTTTATTTCCTTAGTTTGCAACAAAGATTATTTCTGTCTGGCAAGAAATGCTGATTTTATGAGCCTTACTTTCCTCCCAAAATAGAGTAGAATGGAAAGGCAAAAACTTTATGAATGTGTTAAAAAACAACAACAAAAAAAACCAAAAAACCCACACAACAAAAAAACCACAACCCCAAATGAAAAAAAAAACAAAACAAAAAACCAAAGGATTTTGCTCGTTTGTTCTTTCTGTGATTTTTATAAATTTATTGACTTGAAAGAAATAGTTCAGTTTCAGGTGAATCTTGGCCAGTATACTGCTAACTGGGAGTAGTAGTCCTGTATTACCATGGTTTCTTTTTGACAGATAGGTTGCAAATGCTCCATGAGAGCAGCAGTTCCAATTCCATTTCAGTCTCTAAGTAGTTGAGACTGTGCAATGACTTGCTGAACAGAGAAAATACAATTTTTATTTTTAATTTTTATTCAATTAAATACTCAAGTTCTGTTTATGACTAACTTTCATTTTGGGGAGACCAGTTTTTGGAGAAGGATATACTTTTACTGAAAAATTCTTGGACAACTGTAGCTGTAACCTCTTCAGGGTACAGGGTGTTTATGTTGTATTTCGAAAGGGACTAGCATGCTTTTTGATACAAATAATTAATGGCGCAGGGGGTATGACAAACATTTACATTGTTTTGATTGTATTCAATGGAGAAAATAATGTCAATGCTCTCTAGTATGTGCGTTACATGATTCAAAAGGTAGTTCCAGGTTGAGTTCTGTATCTGTAGTGTTAGGCTCCTGCCTGCCTGGCAAATACTGCTTAATGGACTATGCTGTCTGGAGATGGAATTTTGCAGGGGAATGTTAGATTTATGTTTGTTTATTTATATTTATTAGTACTTCTCAATCTACCAAAGACATGCTGTATCAGAAAGACTTAACAGTTACACTTGGATTTCAGGCCTGGGAACAGTCTTCTGGAGTGATCATATTCCCCAACATTCAGCTGTTAGCCAGTGAGGTTTCCAAGCTTCTGACAAAAGAAATTAAGAGGAACCTCAGTGGCAAACCTGCAGGTAATGATCCCATACCATATTCACTGGATCCACTTATTCTGGGAATGTGCTGTCATTCAGCTGTCCTCTGTGCTTACCATGACAGGAATAAAGGGGGAACAAGAAAATACTAAATGTAGCAAGCCAGATCTTTTAGTAGGTGTGAGCTAGCACTGGTTTTGGATGATTGCACTGAAGATCTGGCCTTGTATGCCATGCTGACCTTGGTTTTGGAACTTTTGTATCTGGAAATGTATAATACTGCAGCTATGCAGTAAAAGAGTAGGCTACACACTATTCTGAGGAGCTTTCTTTAATGAGAAAAATACTTCTAGCCACACATAGCTTTCCTGGTGGCTGTTGTACATTCTTTCTTTGCCCTGATCAGCTGGCAGGCTTAATGAACTGTGCTGGTATTCCCAGTGAAGCTTGTCAGTTTGAAACATGTCCTTTATATAAACTGACCTGAGCCTGATGCTGGATCAAAATCCTTTTAAGTCCTTCTATTCACTTCAGTGGACTCCTGCTACTGTAAGTTTGTAGATTTGTCAGATCTGTTAAGAAAGGATCAATGCAGCATTTTCATCTTTCATTAAGGAATTAAAGTTTAATGTGTTTGTGGTAACAGAGGAAGCTCGTCTGGCTTTGGAGCAATTGCTACAACAGAAAGGGGAAGCAGAAGATGGCCGTTTGCTCCTGAAATCAGTGTATCTGCTCTCACAGACTGACTTGGTAAGAGAAATGAATACAAAGGGGTATTTTTTTTGTTTTGTCTTGTTTTTGTTTTTTCCTTTTTACTTTAGAGAAGCTGGGTAGCCACCCCAACAGTGGAACACCTAAGCCTCATAACATTTGCGTTATCCCCAATGCTTTGTGCTTCAGCATGCCCAGGGTATACAGTCAGATAGAGGACACATCACCAGGTTTATAGTCCAAGCTTTTCTAAAAGAGGGAAGTAAGTGCTCTGTGCTTTCAGATACCCTTTCTGTTTTGGTCATCAGGCAGCTGTTTTTTCTAGTGTTCCTCTGATTTATCTTTTTTTCCCATTGTGTATCACTGCTCTTCAACCTTTCTTTGTCACTCCAGCTTACATATCAAAAAGATGACTAGTGAGGATCTGTCTGTCTGGTAATGCAGTGGCTGAGTTTTCCATCTTGATAGCCTCTCACTTTGAAGCATTTCAAAGCATTTCACAAACTCTACTTGTACAGCCATCCTGAATGCAGACTGGCATCAGCAGCGCAGCCTGCTGATGGGCATCAGGGGTACGCTTATCCCTAACACTGAGCTCAGCAGTTTGTCTTATCATTATTCAGATACATGAAAATAAAATCTTACTGTCAGCTTCTAGTGGACATGTTCTATGTTGTAAGGAGCTCTATAAAATTATATATAGTTAGTCACAGCATGAAGTTCCTGATGAGGTTTGTGTTTTTCACAGATTGAAGACATTGCTAATTTTTGTAGCAAACACACTCACAAAACTTCATATCACAAGCCTCACTCTACAGTTTAATTTGCTGCTGATTTTTGTTTTGATTATTGTGTGCCAAGCAGGCACACTGGAACTGTTAAGTTGTACACAGCCGTAGTGAAGATGGGAAGAAGTGTTGAGAAACATTGTGGAGAAACAGTGTCTCTTTTATTTATAAAAGCTATAATTAGAAGTGTGTGTGCAGTTATTCAGTATGTTACAAAAGCAAAAGCATTATAGTTAAATTGCTGCTGTGCTGAGTCAAGGAGGGAATGCTTTTAATATACCAGGCCTCTATAGCTGCAGGGTGTCCTATGAACTAATGATAAAGGAGGCACTGTCTGCCCCTGGACTTACTGCTGTTTTAGCTGCTAGTTAGTTTGCAGGTTGTGTGCTTTGTCGACTGTAGGTCTCCTTATGCAGGACATAGTAAGTATCTCTGCCAAAGCTGGAGTGAGAAGTCCTGGAAATAGCTATGACAACACATGGTCAGTGTGTTTACTTCTGCCAAGTGGATTTGTACAGCCATGCTATATGACTGCCGTGCTTGTGTGCCATAGAGTACTTGTAAGGATAAAATGCTCAAGTAGCTCCTTCATCTGCCATGACTACACTCAGTGTGTAGAAATACAAGAAAACTCTGATCAGCTTCTGGAGGGGCTGATTTTTATTTTCCTTACTTAGAGAACTATGTGGAACATCATTGGATCTGGCCTTCCAGCTGCTCTGATGCAGTGCCTGTACCTTTTCTTTACTTTTCCTCTGAAGAAAACCAGTGATGATGGAGAGACAAGTGAGGATGACACTCAGACTCAGGAAATGCTTGTTAAGGTGAGATGCGCCTCTGGGAGTTCATTTGCCCTGACTACTCAGATGTTCACTTAGGCTTTTTGCTGGTGATTGATTCAAACTGCCAAAAAAGGAGTAAATTTGGACTGAAAATGATTGAACAAGCATCAGGAGCAGTATAAAACAATCTGAGATAATGCCACTATATCCCTTTTATCTTTTTGTTAAACAAAAGAACATGACTTTGTAAGTGGGGAAAAAAATCCATTGAGAGTATCCTAGTGATAGTTTTGCATGTTCATTTCACTGCATCCTTTCTCCTGGCATTAGTATCAAACTATAATGCCCCCCTCCAAATGAATTTTTCTTCATCTCCCAGATATTTGTAGAAGTGTTTATTGTAGCTAATGTTTGTTTGCCTTTCAGATAATGCTTAACATGTACAGAGAGGAACAAGGTGTAGAGGAACTTCTGGCAGCTGATAAGCTTCAATCATTAATTATAGCAACTGCTTCCCTCTGGGACCAGTGTAGCCACTCGTGGAAAGTACCTACAGGCCGTGTGCTGAGAACAATTTCAAAGGCTCAGACCAAAAACAGCATTGTGTACCTACAAGGTTTGGTTTAGTAATTTGGATTCTCCTTTCCTCGTAGCTCCGCTGAGAATGAATTCTCAAGAAGAGTCTCCCTGGGATAGATTTTTGTTTCTACATCATCTGGTAGTCAGTCAGTTGCAAAGTATGGGCTCTTGGCTTTCTAGACAGGAGCTTTATTTAGTACTGATAGCCATCTGGAAACTGAAGTTTTTTCTACATAAAAAATAAAATTACAGGCAAGAGCCAATCTCACCTGATCACACTGATGTAGGCAAGGACAAGATGTATTATGTTTTTTTTAAGTTGTGTGACTCAATGTATGAGCCTAAGGCTCATGCACACTCTAAATACAAGGTTGAGGGCACTGCCAAAGGAACAGTATCTTTTGGGACAACATCATGATTGGTTGAGTTACATCCTCATTTCTTCCTAGGCTTTATTAGAGTAAGCAATTTTTTTGTTATTAAGAATTGCAAAGGCCATGAGTCTCAATTTCTTAGAAGGAAAAAAAATAGTTTTATAATTCACACTTTACTGTCAGTATTCCTTGTTATGGAGTAACTGCATAGAGGTATTTTTATTTTTTAAAATAAAAATTTGGCTTCCTGGGTGAGATTGAAAGAATGGAGAATAATAATTCTAAGAGTACTGAACTGTTTAGATATTTTGAAGCTGTCCTGGAATGACTGGCCATCAGATTAGGCAAGAAAACTAGGCTTCATCGCTCACAGCAGGATGTGTATACCCCATTACATATGCCTCATTGAGCAAAGAATTAATCTGTGAACTCTGCACAGAATATGTGATTGACTTAGTACAAGACAATTAAATATGTCAGCCTCCACTTACCTTGTATTCAGGCAGCTGGATTCACTGTATATGAATCTTGGTGAGTGTGTGGATTGCAAGTTTGTACTCCTGAGACTGAATCAGCTTCTGGTGGTTAAGCAAAGAAATGCATGCATACTTTAAAACCAGAAATGTTCTTCATGTAGCTTCTGAGATGAGTGTGGTGTTCATATATCCTTTTGTCTTTTCTTTCTAGAAAAAGAGTGAAATGACTCCTATTTTATTGGGAAATAACTTTGAACTTCTTGTTCCATTTTTGTTAGCAACTTTGAACTTGTTTGACTGTCAGTTCTTAAATACCTGCTATTTTTTTTTCCCCACAGCTGTGGACTGCATTAAAATAGCTATTCAGAATCTCTTTAAACTGGCTGATACCCTGCCTGCTTGTGATGTGTGTGAAGCTGCTAGTATTGTCTTGTGCTTTGTGAAAGATTCCTATCCAATATCACCAGCTTTATTAACAGAATTTGAAAATAATGATGGCTACCAACTCCTACTAAAAATTTTACTCAGGTAAGTAGAGAGGTTTTTGGTGGGGTTCTAGAGGATGGTAAAACTTTGTTTTCAGAACGCTTGGTGGTCTGTTTTAAAATATGAATCATGTAGGTAATTCGGTGTGGATGCAAAGCCGGTAATACCCTGATACTGGGTCTTTCATTGCTGTTTTAAGAAGGGAAGCAGTACATAACTTCTTCTACTGAAACCATAATGGAAATTAATGGTAGAATAAGTTAGTCTACCATTAAGGTGGGATAGGGGCTTACCTAACACAAGACAAAGGTTCTTCATCAATTAATATTAGAGGGGATGTAGGTCAGAGACATTTGTCTCAGTTAACTCTTGATGCAAGAGTGCAGTCAGCTAGGGAGGGAAAGCTGATCTCCTTGCTGTGCAGAAAACAAACAAACAACCCCCCCCCCCCCCCCCCCAAATACAATTTTATGATTCTTTGTTTCTAAGACATATAATATAAA